AAAAAAGATCTCAAAGACTAATTTATTGTTTTATACTACGATTTCCAATTTTCAAACGAAATACATAAGTGAAAACAAGCTGATGGTTCAAATCTACCTCAAGTGGGATAACTGATAATATATTATAAAAGAAAATACAAAAAGCAGATAACAAAAGATATGTATTGACTAGATATTGTACCTTTCCTTCATTGGCTTGATTACCAATTTCCTCATTCTCTTCCTGCAGTGTCCTGCATTTTGCCATTAACATCTTCCCCATCTTACTTTGTGGGGTGAAACTAACGGCAGCTATATTATCTTGCAGCTCTTTAACTTTCTTATCCTTCTCTTCCACCAAATTCTAAAAATATCAATAAATCAGGCAAAAATCAGGCAACAACCCAAGCAAATGGTTCAAATACACTTTATGTTCACAGCTTATCAAAGAATATGCATCATTAGATTGGTAAAAGTAAAACATAATGCCAACAAGTAAAATTCATTCTGAATAAAGTAACTTAAAATGTATATAATAATAAACCAAATGGTTCACCTTTAATCTTGTGAACTCTTCATGGATAGCTGGATCTAGCAACAGTCTCCTTGCCTGTCAAGTTGTTATCGTCGCATCAAACAAATGGAGAAAAATAGATAAAAGGTCTAGATGATAAATTAGCAGAGGTGACGAGCAAATTTGACAATAACATAATTTTTTTATTTCTAAATATATAAAAGTAAAAAAGGCGTAAAGGCTGGCATCGGTTTCTACCTGCATTGATGGTGGCTTTAACTGAGTTCTCATATCCCGAAGAGCAGACTGCAAGAAAGTTAGTAGGAGATGACAGTAAAGACAAGGAAAAAAAAACCACCGGCAATGAAAACCTAGTTCTACATGAACTAAAAAGAAAATAACTTTAGTTCTCTCGAAAAAATGATAGAACTAGCCTTTAGCGATGCATTAGAAGCCACAAAAAAACTGATTACAGATCCAAGATACACGTGATGAAAAGAATGATGCACCAACTCAACGACATATACACATTGTATTTACAAACTTTTAGCAAAACTTCATTTCACCTTTCAGAATATTGTAAAAAATAAGCATGTGTTTCTGCAGAAACGAGTGACAGACCAAAATGAAATGCATGCATGTTTGTGTTGATGATGCAATGGCACAATTATTCTGACCTTCAACTCAGCTATCTCCTGCTCCCGTTTAGCAAATGTCACAATGAATGCAGCTTCTTTTTTCTTTGCTTTCTCAAGCTGATACCAGTAATTAAATAAACAGATATACAAATAATTAAAAATAAATAAAAACTGGATAGAGAGTGAAAGTTAAGATTTAAAGGCTCCAAAAGACATACTTGCTCTCGGAGGGACTCCTCAGAAGACCTCAGAGTTTGGAGGTAGTTGACCACGAATTTTGGTTCTAACAAATTCCCACAGAAAAGTAAATATAAATGAGCCGGAAAAGTGTTAAGAGGTTAACTCCTATTCATCAAATTGGTAGGCAGAGAAAGGGTTAATGCACACTCAAAACTAACCGGGGGTTGCGGCTTGGGGAATGAAGGATTCGTTCTGGAAAGCAAAATGCCACTTCTGAATCTCAGACTTAGCATCTTCAAGTTTCGTCTATAGAGAGAAAACCAAGATTACCATTTAAAAGAACTGATATCGCCATTGGAAAAACATGTGTAATTGGGAAAAAAACACACAAATTATGCATGGAAATTTTATGTGAGTACCGAGTTTCTTTTTTACTTAAACTGCAATTTCAGCTGAAAAATGAAGATGCAAATAGTGCATGACAACAGAGAAAAGGAAAAGGAAAGCTGTAGACATAGAAATAAAATGCTAAGAACATTGATAAAATCATAAAACTGGAAATGCTACCTGGCATCTTGAGAGTTCATCTTGACAGTTCTGGAGACTACAAAAGAAAAAAGAAACCAGCCAATAACTTTCAGAACATCAGTTGGTAAAAGACTCAACTAGTTTGAAAATGATCTTTTCCTTGTTTCCCATTTTTCTGGGTGGAAGAAAAAAGGATGAGCTCTTGGTGTGGAGGAATATATTGAAAAATGTGTTTTGTGCATTGGAAGAAAAACAAAGATAGCTACGGACAGCTTTGTAAACTGAGTAATCAGCTACAGACAAATAAACTCAATACGGTTTGTTACATTTATAAGCACTTTGTACTAAACTGATCTATCCATGAAAGAGAAAAGGCCAAAGTTAAGGGAGGATACCTCTCACGAAGAGATAAAATCATCCCAGTTGCCACTCCTGGTGCAGTCTCCTCTACTTTCTGGTTAACCTTGAATGTAAAAACAACAGAGTTAAACTTGAACCTTATCAGCCCATATTCCCAGAAGAAGGAAAAATTTAATGATTTATGGAAGCCCAAATATTCAGCATTAATTCAATCTGTTTTAACAATTTTGCCATCAGAAGGCCTCTCGTGAACAATTTCAAGACATCAATCTGACAGTAAACTACAAAAGTAACTAAAAAGAAGCTGTGAAAATTAATAGCCAAGGATTATGGGCTCATTTTTCTGTCATCCAACGACATATTTCAAGTGAAAAACTAATTCAGCTCTCAGCTAGACTGCCTTAAAGTTGTTGATATTCTCTTTCAAAGGAAATCCTTCCGAATTTGGTGAAAGGTCGGTCAAAAAAGTTGAGTTCCTCTCCTGAATTCACAAGCAGTTCCAATATTTCATTTTCATTTGCTCAACATTCAAACACAACCCCAAACGAAAGAATCCAACCTTAGAACATCGGTATAAGTAGACTCAACTACGAACTATAACTTAAAATGAAGACAACAGACACCTACAAAAACATCAGAGAACAAATAAAACTGATACATATATATACACGTCCAAAGCAGGAGCAGAAGCAAAAGAAACCTTCTTCGACCCAAAAATATCTTCTTCGTCATCGTCAAGGTCCGCGAAGCTTCTCTTATTTCCTAGTAGCCAAAACCAAATTCTCATAAACAACCAATAGCATAAAACAAAGATAGCTACAGACAATATTTATAAACTAATTAGTTTGGAGAACCTGAACGCCTTGAAGCACTTCCTCCTGCAAAATCACCTCCAAAATCATCTTCCTGCCAAATTTTCAAGCCCAAAAGGATGAACAGAACAAATTAAACTAGAAATGAAAATAACGAACAAAATACATATAATTTAATGGAAGTGCAATCAAAATCGGGCGCAAGAGTAAGGGAACTCACGTCATCAAGGGGGTCGTGCGACGCCATTGAAATGCGATGTCGAATTGGGGACTGAGCTCTGAAACCCTAACTCCCCGAGATGAAGGAGGTGCAGGATTGGGAGCGTGTGGCGAGTTG